CTTTTTCCACGGGACGGGTGAGTTCGGAGCGGCCACACTCTTTGCTCTTGAATGTAATGTAAAATAAAGTTGTCCTCCGAAGAGGGGGGGTGGTGGTGGGCAATTAAAAAAAAAAAACATTTTTAGTATATTTAGCTTTGCTCCAGCACAACTGGTTTTTCTGTGATTTTGACTTTTTTTCATATACAATACATTGTATACCTAAAAATGTCATTTTGATACCAGTCATATAAAATCACCAGTAAGCTGTCATAGACTGATTTTTTGTACAAACTAGTCAGCAGGGTTTACAGGCAGCTTGCAGTTATGTAAACTTACAGGTATGCTGCTGCAGGTCCACTGACGCCGACCTTTGTATGCAGAACTGTGGTCCGCTTTCCGGTTCTGTCACTCAGTACCGGAAGGCAGACCACAGATAAGAAGGTTGCTGAAGGATAGTGTATTTGCAGCCAAAATGGTGACAGTGGAGAGGCAAGCCTGGGAAGAATTCTGTAAAGTCACTGATGGATTTCTCGGAAACAAGAAGTCATCTGACTATGAGGTTCACGTCAAAGATATGATATGTCGTTTTCAAGATCTTGGATGTAGAATGAGCGTCAAGATGCATTTCCTAGATTCACACCTTGATTATTTTCCTGAAAATTTGGGTGAGTATAGTGAGGAGCATGGTGAGAGATTTCACCAAGATATTAGTGAAATGGAGCAAAGATACCAAAGACGTTGGAATGTAAATATGATGGCTGATTATTGTTGGAGTCTGTAAGACAAAATCCTGGTGCTTCATACAAAAGAAAATTATGCCGGAAACAGTTTCGCGGTGCTAAGTGACCAGCAAAGACATGATGAACTGTTTCCTTAATGTAACATTCGCTATAATTTATGTTGAACTTTAGTTGTAAATTGTGATAAAACCAGACATGTGGTGGCAAATTGGAAGCCAAATTCTGAAACTACATGAAAAACTGTAGAACATGCACTTGTTTTTGTTAAATCACCTAACAAATTTTTTTTTATGTCATATGCATTTCTACACACACGACACAGACTAAAAAAAGCATCCATCATCCATCCATTCATCCACCCATCCATCCACTTATCTGGGGTCAGTTCACGGGGATAGCAGTCTAAGCAGGGATGCCCAGACATCCCTCTCACCAGCCACCTCCTCCGGCTCCTCCAGGGGAATACCAAGGTGTTCCCAGGCCAGCCAAAAGACATAACCTCTCCAGCGTGTCCTGGGTCTGCCCCGGGGCCTCCTCCCAGACGGACATGCCTGAAACACCTCCCCAGGGAGCCGTCCAGGAGGCATCCTAGGTAGATGTCCGAACCACCTTTACTGGCACCTTTCAATGCGGAGGAGCAGCGGCTCTACTTTGAGTCCCTCCCGAATGGCTGAGCTTGTCACCCTATCTCTAAGGCTGAGCCCAGACACCCAGCACAGGAAGGTCATTTTGGCTGCTTGTACTGTATCCGCAATCTCATTCTTTCAGTCACTACCCAGAGCTCATGACCATAGGTGAGGGAAGGAACATAGATTGACCAGTAAATTGAGAGCTTCGCCTTCCAGCTCAGCTGCCTCTTCGCCACGATAGAATGGTACAGTGTCTGCATTACTGCTGAAGATGCACCATTCGCCTGTCGACCTCCCGCTCCCTTCTTCCCTCACTGGTGAACAAGACCCCAAGGTACTTAAACTCGAGGTACANTTACTGCTGAAGATGCACCATTCGCCTGTCGACCTCCCGCTCCCTTCTTCCCTCACTGGTGAACAAGACCCCAAGGTACTTAAACTCGAGGTACAACCGACCCCCCCCTCCCCCCCATCGGTGGTGTGGCTGCATTTTAGCTTTCTGGTAACCAGAAACGAAAACGGAGAGAAAAGCACAGACAAGACAAAAACACAAAAACTGCGTGCAAACATTGTGAAGGACTGATAACATACACAAATAGCACAACGAACATGCTTCAGCATGTCCACCGGCACCACAGTGAGCTCAGTTCACCACCGCCAGAGCGAAGATTATTAAAAGGACAAACCACGCTAAAAAGCTGCACATGCAAGCCTTAGTTTATTTGGTAACGCTTCATACACTGCCCGGCCAAAAAAAAAGGTCGCCATTTGAATTTATATCAGCAAATACTTAAAAGCCAATGACTAGATCATTATTACAGTCCTGCAACGTTATGCAGCAATAAAGTGAAGTCAGCTGAGTACCTGAATCTACTGAATGGCCAGGTTACACCTCCATCCATCATCAATGGATTTTTTCTTCCCTGTTGGCATGGGCATATTCCAGGACAAGAATGCCAAGATTCAATGGGTTCAAATTGTCAAAGAGTGGTTCAGGAGGCATGAGGAATCATTTTCACGCGTGACTTGGTCACCACAGAGTTGTGACCTTAACCTCATTGAAGGTCTCTGGGATGTGATGAAGGAGTAGTTCATTTATGGAGTAGTTCAACTCACTTGTCAATACAGGATCTCGGTGAGAAATGAATGCAAATCTGGATGAAAATAAAGGGTGAGATGTTGCATAAGCTTGTGGAAACAATGGCATGACAAATGTGCACCATAATCAAAGCTAAAGGCAGCCCAACAAAAAATTCAAATGGCGACTTTTTTTTTGGCCAGGCAGTGTATTAAGTGCACCTTCATAATGCATTCATTATGCATTTATAGAACATTGAGTTCACCTTCATAATGCATTCATAGAACATTCATAAGCAGCATGCAAGTACACTTTAACATCATAACATCCCTTAACAGGTTTAATGTACATTAATAACAAACATTACATGATTATACACTTATAATGTTTGTTATTATTATATAATGTTTGTTATTAATGTATATTACAGCTGTTAAGGGATGTTAGGATGTAAAGGTATACGTGCATGATGTTTATGACTGATTTCTGAATACTTAATGAATACATTATGAAGGTGTACTGAACG